TCAGAAGGTGAGTTATTTGCTGCAGTCTTCCTAGCCTCTGACCTGCTCTGTATTTATATAGTGGGTGCTGATATTAGTAAACTTATAGTTGTTTCTACTATAATATGCTTGTGGATATCTTCTATCAAGATAATTTTGCTACTTAAAAAAACTTATGGCAGGGGAGACATTTCATCACAGTACATGGTTTATAGCTGCTCATTTAATGACCCAAAATTTCTCACAGTTGAGCATTTTAAAAGCTGACAATAAGGATGACTGAGTAGGTTTACAGGACAGAGTAAAGACAGTTCGATTACTAACATGACTAGATTGTAATAACAGAATCAGGCAATTCAATTCCCACTCAGCTGAACGACAATGGCGAGACGTAGAAGAAAAACGAGTTCTCTACCCTTTGTAGTTAGCTAACAGTTAAGGTAATACAAGAGGGATAATTTATTCAAATATTTTAGGGATTCTAAAATACGTAGAAACGAACAACTATCAAAAAGTAATAATGGACTCCAACCGTGCCTGTATATCTACTCTGATCATTACAGCTTCTGCCACGGTTCGCTCATGTATCATCACCGTTATGTTTCCAAGCCGAGATCCGCCAGATTCTCTGCTAACCTCAAAGAAAATGTCCTGAATACTGGATAGTGACAATGGATAGCTCCATTGCGAATTCAAGCTCTTCCTCACATGACTTTTGGTCCACATTTGCAGTATCAGGAGTAAGCTTAAAATTACCGATATAGACCACATGACAAATGAAGGCACCAGAAAAAATAACTTAAACAAGGACGAAAACAAAGTTGCTGGAAAAGCTGCATCTGGCAGCATCTGTGAAGAAACAAAACAGGTTTAAGGTTCGGGTCCGGTGACCCTTAGAACTGTTCTAAGGGTCACCGGACCCGAAACGTTAACTCCGTTTTCTCCTTCACAGATGGTGCCAGACCTGCTGAGCTTTTCCAGCAACTTTGCTTTTGTTCCGGATTTACAGTATCCGCGGTATTTTCGGCTTGAACTTAAACGGGGGTTCTTTTGCATTTTTATATACAGTCGGCCGAGCAGTTCTCGAGTTTCAAAAGGAGCGCTACAACGCGGTGACGCCGCGAGGCTGACCCCGCCCAGCGGCTGGGTCGGAGGAATGAGTGAACCCGGTCCCACCGTCCTGAACCTATGTTACCGGGAAGACACAGAATTCCTCATCGGTGAGGGGTGGTGGACGATCCCCGCGGCACCTCATCGGTCAGTTTTTTTTGAGGAGACCCGTCACCTCCGTTCAAAACAGTTTCTCCCATACACGCGATTCTCCAACCCCCTCCCCCTATTTTTCTGGGCGACCCACCGTATTCCATTCCGGGACTTACCGATGCCTAATCCCACTACGACGCGTCCGGCCAACAAGGCGTTACGGTCGCTCCCAGCCGTCATCACCACCGCCCCTAACGTGAAGAGGAGGCTGGCCAGCAGGATACAGGGTCTTCGGCCCCAACAGCCGTTGAGGAGGCCTCCAGCCAGCGCCGAAATGGCTGCTGCTCCCACCGTGGCCGATACCACCAGCTCCTGCCACAGCTCGTTGAGGGCGAACTCCTTCTTGAGTAGTAGCAGGGCGCCCGACACGACGCCGGTATCGTAGCCGAACAGGAAGCCGCCTAAGGCCGCGAACGTAGCCAAGACGTAGACGAAGCGGGGATTGTTGTTCCTGCTGCTGCCGCCACCACCTCCTTGGAAGTGCCTGTGGGCGACCAGATTTCCCTCGGCGCCGGTTGCCATGGCCATCAACCGCGAGTGGTGGTTGTTATTGTTGCTGTTACCGCCACCGGCCGGTTTGATTAGAGGTCGCCCGTCCGGCCTGATCCACCGCTCCCCGCTCAGGTCCCTTAAACTGTACTCAGCGTCGCTGTCTTTGCGGGACATAAGGAGCCCGGGAGTCGGCTCCTCACCTGCTGGAAGGTTCTCGACCCTCGCCGCGTGACGTGGGGGAGAGCGCTCGAGCTTACTCAGACCGTACCTCAACAGCGCGCGATCAATGCTGCTCTCCCAGCGGCGGCACTCCGATTGATTGGGGGGATGGGGGCAGGGCAGTGAGATGCAGGCAGTGATCCAGACGCGCCTCCGTCACGTGCAGCTCGTATGCAGCCTACCCGGTTAGGGGTGGGAAGCGGCGGCGGCGATGACAACAACTGATGTTTTATTCGAAAGCGGCCGCGAGTTTTGCACTCGCTGCGACGTCCTACCTTGACGGACGGTACCTTTCTGTGTGCGGTTGCCACCTGGAACTTGCTGTCGGGCGATCCTCTTCCACCCCCTCCACAGCCAGGTCTCTTGGCAGATGCAGTCACTAGACAAATACCGTATTTCGAGCTGAAATTTAAATTTCGACGCACGGCTCTCGCTGCAAAAGACAACTGAAAGCGCGAAACTTACCCAGATAAGATGAACCTTTTTTGTTTAAATGGTGTTAAATCATAATTACAGTTCAATGATGACCTCAGCTATGAGGAAAAAATTGATGTTACTTGACTCCAATGTCATTTTTCAGTAACATATACGATGTAGTTTTTGAAATTTATTTCAGCCTCTCCCTCAATTCCTAACGTACGTATTTTGCTTTCTATAAAGTGATTAACAATTGAATAGATAATTTGTGATGTTTAAATTCCTGAGTGGAATTCTGTTACAGTTTGTAAATGTGGCTGTTCAGCTGAACTTTGATTTAATGTTACTGAATGCCACGTACCCTTGAAGGTTCTCCTAGGTTGTGCGTCGCAACAAAATGGGAAAGCCTAATCGATAATGTGTACATCAGTAGTTGACATTATCACTCAGTTGATGGCCGCTAACAGCTAATATCTTTGACATTTTCTTTCTTTTTTAATATATGTAATAGTCACGTTTTATGATTTAAGTCAAGTGGAGAACTATTGGATTGAACTTTTTTGTTGAGCTGAAAGTAGACACAGTCTGAAAATAGATACTCCACTCAGGAAAATTTTTTTTTGTTGGTGTATATCTAGAAATCAGTCATAATGCGTTTTATTTTAGTTCCCAGTTTCTGCATTAACGAATGACATTTTATTAAAATGTGACATATAGGATGAACATGAACAGTTTTTTGATGTATTTACACTAATTTCAAATGTTGTCATGAAATTGATATATGGGTACACTGCGAAGAATCTTCGAACTGAAAGTATGATCAGAAAGTATATTTCAAGTTTTTGAGAAGATTTGTATTTTTTTTTGAGCCATTTCTGAACGTGAGCATTGAACAGTTCATGTGAGAAAGTATAGCCCCACACAGAGGCACAACAACCAACGATTGCAAAGCCTTCTCTGATTACACCATTGTTTTATTTCTTCTGGTTCTTAATTTGAAAACAAACTATCCGTGCTTTACAATTTTGCTCTAAGGCTTAACAAAATCAAAGAGCTTGACACAGACTACTGTAATTGTAATGTTAAGCTTACATTTTAAATATTACAAGTTGTCACATTAAGGGAATGATTACTAAATGACAGTCGAATTGTCTCTTCCCTACTTGGGTGGTCACAGCTGAAGCAGCAACATTTGCAGCTTTGATCTCGCAACGTATTGGAGTATGCTAGATTCAAAGCTTAGCCTAAAAACAAAAAAAGGCCCAGTACTCAAACACTGATTTGTAATGAAAATGTTCAACTAGAAATGATTTATTAATTTATAAACCACTACAGGAAAGAAACGTTTCAAATTTCACCTGTTAAAGGTCAGGCCCAACCGGATTCATACATTACAACCAAATGTGAATATTCTTCTATTAACACTCTATTTTCCCAGAATCTAAGATTCTTAATTGAAAACAAAATGACTCTGCTTTCCACGTAAAGTTTCAGTGTCTTACTGGACCATAGGTGGCTTTCCTGGTATACTATTGTTTAAAAAAAACTCCAAACAAAGAAATAAAACAATTCAGTGTAGTTGTGGATCACTTAAAATAGGCACTAGATTCATGACTGAGTAGAAAACATTACTGTCACATTAAACAATAAGATTTTTGAACAGATTAAACAAAAATGAAGTTAGTGTATTTTTTTTAATGAACTGGATAACTAGTTTTAGTCTTAGCAAAAGCATGGGAAAAATACTTCTGAAGCAGGGTACAATGTAGTATTAACCACAGGACCTTTTTTTGACAGCCAAGTACTACCATGGTCTCTTCGTAGCTACGCCTCCCAACCATTTCCTTGTATTTCCAATAATCCATGCTCCTTAAAAGCCAACCTCTTTCCATACAGACCCTGAAGAAATCTCCTCTGTTCATTCAATACTGTACTTGCTATGCTGCTGCAACTGAATTGCTCAACTTGGGCTGTCTCCCATCTTTATGTTCACGTCACCCAGTATTTGATCATCTTCACCTTTTATCTGCTGGACTACATCCTGCTCAACTTCAGCTGAAACTTCCCAGAGCACCAGGATTTTCCACGAGTGAAGATCACTTTCAATGCTTCTATAGCAACCTGTTCAGAAGATGTTATAGCACACCCTGGAGCAGGTGGAACTTGAACCCTGATTTCCTGGTTCAAGGCAGACACACAATGACTGCACCGTAAGAGGCCTGAAGTAACAAATGTTCTGTCTCTCAAACCCATTGGAATTGTTTGTGCAGCTAAGTAATTGGGAATTGTAGATCTAATCTAATCAACCTATACAGTAATGTTATTACACACTGCTGAGTGGATAGGATTTGGACATGGGACTCTTCGTTAAAAGGTAGGGACACTACCATTATCACAAGAGCCGTTCTTCCATGTACAGCCATCTTCAGCTTCATCAATCGACCCCTTAGAAAGGGATTAAGGAGATGCCAACGTATTTGAGTACAAAAGCAAAATACTTCAGCTGTTGGATATCTGAAATATAAAACAAAATGCTGGAAACAAGCAGGATCTGAAGATGGAAACGGCATCAACAGTCCAAATCAACCATTCATGAGACCGTTGAAGGGAGGATGGAGATGTAAGAGCTGTTTTTTTTGCTTTGAGGCGAGGCATTATGACAGTAGATTTAAAGATGATAGTTGAAATTAACTGGAGATGAGTGGAATTATTTTTTGCTCTACTGCACATGAAGGAGCTTGCTGTTTGATGCATCTCTGTAAAGGGGCTAAGGTCTTTTTCATGAAATATCGACATAGTATACAAATCTGTTAAAATCAATGAAATAAATAAAAGGCACCATAATTGGATAATAAAATTAAATAACTAAAACTCAGAGTGGCAGTTCAGACAATGTTGCCCAAGGTAAGCACATCTGTAGTAAGGGTTTGAAGTTTGAGCAGCTTTAGCTCAGTTTGAGAGCTGGAGGCTGAACTGCAATGCATCAAAGGAGGGGAAAGGTTACCTGAATTCTTTGCAGCAGGATACACAATTTAGAATATGAATAGTCAGGGTTGGGTAGGGTGTAGGGGAGTTGGTGGTGACCGCAAGTGAAATAGGTAATGGGACTCAGGACAGGGATACAGGAATGTCAGCCTGTGCCATTGCCCAAACATTTTGAATGAGAGGGGGAGCTGCAGGGTTAATGAGCAAAATCTGACCATGTCACTGTGGTACAGGAAAACATACACATTGAGAAAGCAACAAGGAGTGCTGACTTAAGAGCTGGTAGTTAGAGGGGAAATGACACTATTTTGTACAGCAAAGAGTGAGTTCAGGTGGCTGTATTGCCTGCCTGGTGCCAGGGTTCAGGATATCTGCTCCGAGCTGCAAAGGAAGAGGCAGGTTCCAATGGTAACATGTGACTCAAAGATTGGGGATAAACTGGGTTCTGTTTTGTAGGCCATTTGCGCAAATGCTAAGAAAATTGTTGGAAGTCAGATGACACTGGGTAATGGTCCAACAGGTTTATTTGAAATCACAAGCTTTGAGTCCTGCACCTTTATCAGGTGAAGACCACGTCACCTGATGAAGGAGCAGTGCCCCGAAAGCTTGTGGTTTCAAATAAACCTGTTGGACTATAACCTGGTGTTGTGTGATTTCCAACATTGTCCACCTTGGTCCACTACTGTCACATTCATGTAAAGGAAACTATGGGCTGTATCACTGGGGACTGTACATTTGAACCATGTTACAGCCAGTGTTATTGTGAACCACATAACTAAGTAAGTAGAAAGGTTGTAGTTTTAATAATGGGGTCAAAGGATCACGTGGAAAGAAGTGGTACATCAAAGAAAGGAGTAAGAGAGGAAAATAGTAATGTATGAAATGAGACTGAGAATGACAGGAAGGGGGCAGAGAGGAAAAAAAACTTAGCAATATCTCTAATCAAAGTGAGATGATACGGATATAACAAAAAAGACAAAACTAAAGACTTTATCAGAACACATAGCATTCATAACAAAGTAAACAAATTGGTAGTGCACATTGAATTAAGTAATCTGATAGCAATTTTAGGGGCATGGCTGTAGAATGACAAGGATTGGGGTCTTTAACATTGAGAAAATAGGAAGCTAAGTAAAAGTGGAGGTGTAGCACTGTTAATCAAGTATGGCATTTGTACAAGAGCTAGGGTGACCTTGGTTCAGATCAGGATGTGGAGGGGTATGCCAGGTATGAGGGGCACAAATCTGCTGCTGCTGATGGCCCACAATGCCTCATCGATACCCAATTTTAAGCCACTAGGTGCTGTAGGTTTACTCAGACCAATGAAATCTCTCTTTTAATTTCCCCATTTATTTTTAAGATATGTTGGATTGTACATTAATTGCCCATTAAAAACATGCTTTAGAAATAGGGCTCATGAGTGTTAGCACCTTTTTTAAAAAAAAAATTATTGTTAATGCAGTTACCATTCTTTTCACTAAGGCATGATGGGAAGGATGTCAAGTGTTGAGTCTAATTTCTGTATGTTTCCTTTTCTGTTTTTTTTTCATCTATTTTCATTCCATCTCATTTTTTTCCTCTCATTTCCCTTTCAGAAGCTGATTTGATTTGACTCAACCCACTCCAGATTGACTGTTAATCCTTTCATTCACAATATTCCCAGATATCCCTCTTTCCTATCAGTACAGTGGCACCTCAAATTACCTGCAAGTCATGAAAAAGTTTTATGCTGGAAGCTGCAAGCAACAGTTTAAATGTGCACACTGTGAGATGCTCATGTTAAGATTTATTCCAAATAAATGCTGTATTAAAGCTAAAAATATTTAGTAGTACCTATTTGTGGTTTCTCATTACAACCAGCTGCACTCTATGAAAGGACTCTTTTGTCTTCACGGTCCTGCTTTGGTGTAGCCAAGATACATAGTTATATTTTACAGAATTTGGCTGAATTGTCGACACTTTTTTAGGTTCTTTGTCTTAGGACAGTGTTCAGTCTCATCTTGCCATAATGCATGTATTCACGCATTGCAAACAAAAGAAACTAATGTTTCGTTTTTCCAAGAGCGTATTTTATGGATCATTGTGCACATTGTGAATGCCACCACTGGGTGGAGCAAAGAGTACACATGGGTAGGAACACTGCTGCAGATGTCACTGCGCAGTGAAAGAGCGGCAACAGCAGCTGCCTGTCACAGATATGACACTGACTATACAATCACACACATTGAGCCTTCCTTTTGAATAGTGATTTTTCTCTCTCTTATCCCCAAATCCTGCCCTGGATTGAATCAGTGCAAGGAGCAAGAAGGGAACATGAGAAGTGAACGCGGCAGCATACGGGAATCGTCGCAGCTTTTAAAAATTAATTACTACCAAATAAAAATGCGGTAGCATGTGCACACCGGCAGTGGCGATATCAGCAGCGCAAATGCAAACGAACCGTGAAGTCTGTCATATCCAGCTGATGTCAAAGGCCCGTCTGCGCTTGTGCGGGTGGCCATTTTGACGTTAACAACAATTACTGTATTTAAAGGTACATACTACACGCATCACTACTAATGCGTACGCAAAATACATGCATATAAGAAAGAAATACTCATAGATGAAGTAAGAACACAGTTCACACAAGTTCATTCTTGAAACGCAACAATTGAATAGTCAGAGATCGTAGGAATCGCAGTGCGCACTAAACAACTGCACCTCCCAGTCGCAAACCATTTCAACTCCCCCTCCCATTCCTTAGACGACATGACCATCCTGGGCCTCCTGCAGTGCCACAACGATGCCACTTTCGCTTGGGAACCCTGCAGCCCAATGGTATCAATGTGGACTTCACAAGCTTCAAAATCTCCTCTCCCCCAACCGCATCCCAAAACCAGCCCAGCTTGTCCCTGCCTCCCTAACCTGTCCTTCCTCCCACCTCAAGCCCCACCCCCATCTCCTACCTACTAGCCTCATCCCGTCCCCTTGACCTGTCTGTCCTCCCTGGACTGACCTATCCCCTCCCTAACTCCCCACCTACACTCACCTTTACTGGGTCCAACCTCACCTCTTTGACCTGTCTCCTCTCCACCTATCTTCTCCTTTATCCATCTTCCATCCGCCTGCCCCTCTCTCCCTATTTATTTCAGAAACCCCCTTCCCCTTTCCCATTTCTAATTGAATAGCCAATTCACTTCCGACTTAAAATCAACTGTGCAGAATCTGCTAGTCCTAGAAGAGGCAAGATGAAGTGCAGGTGAGGGGACATACTTGTGCACAAGTCAAAATTTCAGATTCTTGCCAACAGGATAAACTTTAATGATTACGTTTTCCAACTTTAAAAGGCAGATTAATCTTCCTGAACACAAATATTGGAAAGCCAATCTAGATGTATTTGCATCTCATTTAAATAACAGCTCATCGGAATTATGTGTTGACTCCAAATTATGTTCTACCCGATCAAAAAATTCATCCTTTTAGATACCCGACCATATTTAAGAGGCATTTACCTGATGACCTTGACCTGCTTCTGGACTAGTATGTAGGCATAGCAGTGGTCCTGTGGTAATATGGTTTTAAATCAGTGTTCCATTGAGTTGTCGGAAAGACATTCTTCATTCTATTTCTTTACAACTTTATAAACGTCTCTGCCCTACATGGATTCGAGTTATCAAATCCCCTTTGAGGTTACAGCAGGGTTCC